CTCACGATTTTGAAATGTGATTGTTTGGCATATGTTTTTTTTTTTCGAAAAACATTCAGGCGCAATTCCGAACATCTTTCATGTTAATTATCTAGTTTCTTTTCTTCCAAATAACCAGTTCTAGAGGTAGTTAACGCTAAAGGTTATATTTCTGAGATATTACCCGTTTATACCAATGGAATGAGACGAGGTGTTCTTCTCCTTAAATGGAAAATTAAGGAATTTCTCGAGAAATTTTTTTCCACGAAAATCCCACTAAATGAACTCTAATGAATTTTCTATTACATTCAAACAACAGTTGAAAAAGGAATATGATTTATATTACTGTGGAGGCGGACAAGCCCGAGTAGTATTCCTTCATTTATAATCATTGAAGGAGTCGACTTAGATTAAAATATAATTTATGTTTGAAAAAACATGCATGTTACATATCAAGCATAAAGATTTATTTTTTGTTCACATCGTGATTGGTTTACTCTAAATACTAGCATTATAGTTCTCAACCTTCTTTTTGGAAAACAAATAGATGACGCAGATATTGTACTCTTTCCACAACGTGCTACAAACAAGAAAGTACAATATAGGGGGCCAGGCCAGGGACTGGCCTAAAAACAGAATGCAGAATTCTTAATTGATTTCCTATAAAAATGAATCATAGAGGCATCATCTAAACTATAAGCTAGCTATCTTTTAAAAGCATAACTGAAACATGTTGTAGACAGTTGTTGAAACCAAATAAAAAAGTTTTTATTCAGCAAAATGACATTTAAATGTACTCGACTTTGAAGCAGGCGTCTATTCTCCATTTAGTTGTTCTGAAAACATAGAGTCCTCAAAATAGAAGATAAAGAAAACGAAGTTTGAACGGTCAAAAGGCACATGATATTTGACACGAGCGCATTTGAGCCAGCACATGAATTTGCGTTGTTTTTAAGACGTTGGTGTATGAAGGTTAGAGATATACCCGCGCGTTTGAGGCAATCGGTGATCTCAATGGTGTATAAACTGTGCATTAATATGCTTTTTTAGCCCGATTAACGCCTGTATTTTTCCGAGAATTCTTTCGTACAAATCGGTGAGTTTTTTTTATTTTCAAATTAAGGTCGAGGAGCAGGGTCTTCTCTGATCACGCTGGTATGAAAAATATTTCAGGTGAAGTTTCCATATTTTGGCTGTGAACTAACTAAAATTTACACTTTCGATCGCTGTCCACACCGGTGATCTAGCCAAAAATAATTTCCGGCTTGTGGCGACACAAAAAAAAGTGAATTGGAGAACAACTAAACTATTTTTATAACATGTGTCCTAAAACCCTTTACATGGGCAAAAAAAAAAAATCAAAGAAAACTTTTTTTTGAAGGGAAGTCGAGACGACCGCTCTTAGCGAGAGCGGCACTTAATAGACTGAAAGCCGACTCTTGTTGAAAACTTTGAATTATTGATCAGTAAGAAGTATATAAAGAACTTTAATCAGGATTCAGTTTAAAACGCTTTACGTACCATGAGAAGTATGCGGTAGAAAAACTATTTCCCTAGTGCATGGAAATAGTTCCTTGAAAGTTAGAGTCCAAACCGCATTTCGAAGTCGAACTTACATGCTTTCTTCACCAGGCTACCCAAATTTGAAAAGCTCCCTGCTATTTGAATGAAGCAATTTTATAACAAATTGAAAGGAACTTGCTAATTTTGATCGTCTCCACACTGTGCGTACTTCATGACCAGATGTTTCAACGAAAATTATCTAAAAAACGCCTTTCTATCACCTTTGTTTACTTTGTAAGTCACGCAAGTGCGCAAGCGTTACGACCTATCTCGTTTACGCAACGTTTAGGACAACTCGGCATCTATTCTCCATTTAGTTGTTATGAAAACCTAAAATCCTCAACGTAGAAGATAAAGAAAAAGAAGTTTGAACGGTCGAAAGGAGATCCTGGTCAATTTTCTTAATGAGCATAGAGAGGACGCCTACTCTTGAGGAAAACTTGGAATTATTGATCAGTAAGAAGTATATTAATATCTTTAATCAGGTTTCAGTCTAAAACACTTTACGTACCATGAGAGGAATGCGCTAGAAAAACTATTTTCGCCGGTTAATGGAAATAGTTCCTTGAAAGTTCAGGGAGTCCAAACTGTATTTTGAAGTCGAAGTTATATGCTATCTTCACCAGGCCACCGAAATTTGATCAGTTCCCTGGTATTTGAATTAAGCAATTTTATAACAAATTGAGAGGAACTTGCCAAAGTGTAAAACGATATGGTAAAATTCTAAGGGTTAGTTATTATTTTTTCGGTAACAGATCATACATCAATTGAAAACCTGTCGTAAATTTATGCACATCTAGACTGAAATTTGTCTATATCATTTAATTAGCATATACAGGAAGCCTACTCCTGTTTAAAACTTTGAATTATTGATCGTTAAGAAGTATATCAATATTTTTAATCAGGAGTCACTCTAATACGCTTTACGTGCCATGCATGAGAAGCATGTGGTAGAACAACCAGTATTTTCTCTAGTGCATGGAAATAGTTCCTTGAAAGTTTAAGGAATCCAAAGTGAATTGGAAGTCGAAGTTATATGCTATCTTCACCAGGCCACCGAAATCTGATTAGTTCTCCAGCATTTGAATTAAACAATTTTATAACAAAGTATGAAGAACTTGCATGAGCGTGAAACGATATGGTAAAATCCTAAGGGCTAATTATTATTTGTTGTAAAAGATCACATATCAATTGATGAGATATCGTTGATTTATATATATTTGGTCTGAAATTTTTCTTTACCATTTAATTAGCAGGAAGCCTCACTGAAAACTTTGAATTATTGATCAGTAAGAAGTGTATTAAGTTTTTTTTATCTCCTTCATGCAGTTTTCAAGTGTTTACATTTCGATATCTCATATCTGAAACAGTCGAATCATATTACATCAAGGTAATTTAATGTTATCGACTGATTTTAAAACGTAAATTGGCCACCGTAAAGAGTTTAAAGGCTGACCTTTCGAGCGTAAAGTTGTTAATCATCTCATGATAGGACTCCGCCTGTGATGAACAAGTTAATGTGTGTCTTGATAACAATTTTAAGCATTTCACCCAAGACACAAGCTAAAACTTTTTCCCAATCCGGTATTTTCGAGGAAAAAATTGATCTTTACTGCATTCTGAAGTAGGTGTGAAAGAATGCCATGGGGATACGAAGGAGATGGCAGCTTTTAGCGTAACATTACCAAAAATGAACCGAAAATATAGTTCATCTGAAAGCTTTGAATGCTATTCCAGCAAAAATATATAGTTTACTGTATTACTAGTAACATAATAATAATTATATCACCTTCGTCTGCTACAGCCCGGCAATGAAACCATGAGAAGAAAAGAAGAGACGCGAAACCAAAGGGAAGCACCGTGAAAATGAAGCGTTGATTTTGAAAATACATCATATACAACTGAAATATACACAGCGACAGACTTTTCGTACACTGCTGACGATTTTAGGATGTTGCGCGACTGGACATCAAGGTTGTGGGTCCTAATTCAACGACCATTGGAAAACCACTGCCGTCGTTTGTTTCTGCAACGCAAAGCAGTAAATTTTTAATGTTATTTGGCTTTTTCAGCATAATAAATTATTTAAAGAGTAGTTGTCTATGCCGCCTAGGATAGATCAGTTAACAACCCACGCTCATGATTTTGAAATGTGATTGTTTGTCATATGCTTTTTTTCGTTCGAGAAACATTCAGGCGCAATTCCCAACATCTTTCATGTTAATTATCTGGTTTCTCTTCCAAATAACCAGTTCTAGAGGTAGTTAACGCCAAAAAAGATTACATGTATTCGTTATTTTCTAAGATATTACCCGTTTGTACCGATGGAATGAGACAAGGTGTTCTTCTCCTTGAATGAAAAATTAAAACAAGCTTGTTTATTGGCAGAAAATGCTATAGAGACGTAGCATTTGTGCGTTTTGTTGTTAACATCCGACGTTTTATATGTATTGTCATAAAACAAACAGATAAGGGGCAGTATTGGTCCTGCAGGTATCGATTTAGCGGGTGAAATGTAAACCTTGATTTCATTTTTAACTTTTCCCATGTTTCAAATGCAAGTGTTTCCCGTTTTTTCCTCTTCTTTTTGTGGTCTCTTGTTTGTCCATAAGCCTTTACACGTGGATACTCTAGATCTAGTAGTTTTGCATACCGGAACTGAAATTTTCAATTGAAAAGACACTATTTTCGGAAGTATAAGCCGTTGACATGTCCATATTGGAAAACTCTGTTTCAGATCTCGAGAAATTTCTTTCCATGAGAATCCCACTAAATGAACTCTAATGAATTTTCTACTACATTCAAACAACAGCTAAAAAAGGAATATGATTTACATTATTGTGGAGGCGGACAAGTCCGAGTAGTATTCCTGCATTTATAAAGATAGAAGGAGTCCACTTAGATTAAATTTAATTTATGTTTAAAAAAACATTGAGGTAAGATGCATGTTACATATCAAGCGTAAAGATTTATATTTTGTTCACATCGTGATTGGTTTACTCTAGATACTAGAAATATAGTTCTCAATCTACTTTTTGGAAGACAAACAGATGACACAGATATTGTACTCTTTCCACAACGCGCTACAAACAAGAAAGTACAATATACGGGGCCAGGCAAAGAAAAATCTGAAAAAAGTCCGCCATGTCGGATGACGTCACCGAGTCTCAGCAGCGAAATTTGCATACGAATCCCATGATATTAACAACATCTTGTGGACGACATAAGGCTATCTATTAAAGGTAAAAACTTTTCAAAATATTGCAATGTAACGAAAACGCATGGCAGGGTTCCAACTAACCCCTTCCACTCCCCTTGTACCACAGTGAGGGTATAAGTTTTAATTTACGTTTTGAAATATAACTTGAATAATAAGGTGACAAGAAACAGGAAACATCTTCCTTTTCAGCGGTCTTCAGTTCCGAACTAAGTTTGTAAAAGAAAGATCTTATAATGTTTTAACGTATCCATAAGTTCAACGAGTAGGACTGGAATGGAGCTTTATTTTTTTCACCATCATAACCAAAGTCATATTCAGTTTCACTACCACCATCTTCAACGAAAGAAGCAGCGGCAGTTTCTGTGATCCCAATCCCATGATCAGCACGTGCACAGCTACTTCCTCCTCCACCAATCATCATCACTGATCCATCCCCACCACTCCAGTCACACCAGAAGCCGATCTTGTTGGCGCTTTGGATGTTTCCTTTGCAATCAGCCTGTTGAAACCCGTCTGTTGACTTGTACTGTCCGCCATATTGAACCGTACAACTTCCCAGACACTGATCACTGGCCCAGACCTTGCCATTTCTAAAGTCGCCATAACTTGTGATTTTAGATCGGAATGTTTGTCCAGCCAAACAGTTACCTGTGGTCTGTAACAGAGGAGTGTGACTAGGGTCGTCACTACGCGTGATCTTAAATTCGCTTCCTCTGACCAACCAAAATGCTGGTGAGATCATGTCAGTGTTTATAAAGGGACTCTCTGTCTTTCCAGTGGCAACTTGACGGTCGTACCACCAATGGCCAGTGTCAGCCATCCAGTTCTTGACGTCATTATTTGAAAAGCGGGCAATAAGAGTCCAGCCTCTACCGTCTGTTGTCAATTCGCAGTAGACCTGCAGTAAAAAAAAAAAAAAAATGAGTGCTTCACTGATACCGAACCGTGAAAAAATGCATTGTTTCATGTCTTAAAAATATATATTTTAACAATTTAAATATTTTGTTATAAGAACATTAAAAAAGATGGTAAGTCTTGAGCTCGGTGAAGAAATAGAGAAACATCTTTTTTCGTCTTGTCACAAGCGTGGGAAAAAGAAAATTTCTGAGTCCCCATGAGGAATCGAACCTCAGACGTTCGGATCCCGCGCTCCGATGCTCAACCAGAGACACTATGATTAGCAAGGCCTATTAAGAAGTTCCTATATGACATACGTTCTGCAGACTTCTAGGGTCATCAATGTCTTGAGCGTCATGTTTTTTAACTTTTTGAACTTCGTAATGGGCCTTTCTCACCATAGAGTCTCTGTTGCTCTCTGTCTCTTTGCATCATAGTTCTCGTCTGAAAGTTTCCAGTTGTTGCGTGAATGCAGCCTTGAATCGTTATTTTAGTTGGAGATTTAACTATTCTTATCAAGGTTGCTGACCGGCATGGCTGCATTGCCGTTATTTAGGGGAGGAATATATATTACATTTTTCTTCGGTTTAGACTTACAGGAAAGGCTAGTTGAGTGTTTTTATCGCATACGTGGTACATCGCGGCAGTTTCGCGAGAGGGTCCGTGAAAACAAGAGGAAGAGTTCACATTGTGCTTCATTGGTTAACTTTTGACCTTTTTATGTTCGTGGAGCGATTTTGTTGTTGTTGCAAAATAATTTGTTTAAAAAAGGTTGATATGTAACGGCCAGGTGTAAGATAATTCAACATTAGCCAACATCAAGACGCCTACGAAGTCCTTGAAAGTGCCGAGAGAAACCTTTTTTAGCCATGTCAACGAAATGCGTAAAGCATTCTTAGAAAACGGTCTCCACTCTCTTTGCATCATAGTTCTTACTTGGAAGTTTCCAGTTATTGCGTGAATACAGCCTTGAACCGTTATTTCAGTTGAAGATTTAACTTTTCTAATCAAGTTTGCTGACTGGCTCGGCTGCATTGCCGTTATTTTGAGAGAGGAATACGTACTATATTTAATACGGTTCAGACTTACAGGAAAGGCTGGTTGAGTGTTTTTAGCTCGTAGGTAGTACATCCCATCAGTTTTGCGAGAAGGTCCACGCTGAACTAGGTCACAAGAACTATCTAAAGACGGAACATAAAACTTCAAGAACTTTCAAGTCAAACTGTTTAAATACATTTTTAAAGAGCTTGCGTTTTTCGATTAAAATTAAAAAGACTGTGCTTATCATTTTAAGACTTTTGCCAAACATTTCTTGTCTAGTTTGTAATAAAAAAAAAATTATAAAAAAAAAACGTAGAAAGGAAATGTGTTTTGGATGTACAGTTGAAAAGTAATAACTGTTATAATACCCATTAATTTCGTAGCAATCACCGTGGTTACTGTTTCCGTTAACCCAAAGCTGTTTGTGGCTCGACAGATGTAGTCTTCTTCACCATGTGCTTTTGCAGTATTTACTGCGAGACATCCGTCTTCCTGGAAAAACGGAGAGAACAAAGTGGACCTTTGATGCCTAGCCCATTCAACTTTAGGACGAGGCAAGCCTGTGGCCACGCAGCAGAGGGTTACAGTTGTTCCTTGTTCTACAACGACCTTCGGTGGAGGTTTGTTAGTAAACTGTGGTACCTCTAAACAAAAAGAAGATCATCAAGTTAACAAACAAAATAGGAGACCACAAATAATCTCAGATATATGCAGTTTGCGTAGGTTTTTGAAAATTGAAAATTTTGTCGCGCGCAGATTATCAATTTGAAGGAAAAGCAATAGGAAAAAGTAAGCGTCTCGCAAAAAGGATTACACTCGGTAGTATTAGAAGTTCACTTTAATTTCACTTTCCTCTAATAGATGATAAAATCACATGAAAAATGAAATAAAAAAATGATTTAGGAATAATGTTTTTGTCGCAAGGATCAGATTGGGTAGTAGTATTCGATTGAGAAATTTTTACATTCCCTTCAGTTTTATTCTTTGTCTTGCGCGTCAGGAGAGGTGACTCAGTCTATGACACATGACTTGAGAGTTGCAGACGCTGACTACCTAAATTTTTGAATACAAGGTTGGAAAGTATTTAAAGTTAAAGATTCTACCTTTTACGAGTAAACTGCCTGCGATTCTGAAAATTCCTAGACCGGTATGAGCTGTACACATATACGACCCCACATGTGACCTTTGAACGCTGTTGATTCGAAGCGCACCGTCTTTCGCGGTAGCATCAGATAGAGTGCCTCCGAGCTTACTCCATGTTATTTTGGACGACGTCTGGCCTTGAACCCAACAGAAGAATATTGCTGTCTCGTTGATAAAGACTTCCTGAGATACTGGATACACAATGATCTTCGGTGGAACAACACATTCTCCCTTTGGTCCCTGAATACCAACCAATCCTCTGATACCTTTGTTCCCTTTTAAGCCAATAGATCCTTTTTGTCCGTGACGACCCTTCGCTCCAATATCTCCTTTAATTCCAGGAGCTCCAACAGACCCTTTGTCGCCTTTGTCGCCCTTTACTCCTTGAGGTCCCACAGGTCCTCTTTTGCCACCCACGCCTGGAGCCCCAATAGGCCCCGATGGGCCTGGTGGTCCTACCTTTCCAGAGGCCCCTTTTTCTCCCTTATATCCGGGATACCCAAGGGCTCCTGGCGGTCCCGGAGGTCCTGCCTGGCATATTCTGTCTGAGGAGTTACAAACTTCAATGAACTTGTTCTTTATTTCTAGGCGGATTTGTTGTAAAGTTACAGTTCCTGCCGTTGGATTTGGAGCAATATTTCTTTTCTCTCTTTTGCGATGATCCGCTGGATGTTTTCTCATAACACTTTCGAAATCTTTGTGTGAAACAAGTGGAAAAAAAAAATTGGTCAAGGCTTTTAAATATTTTTGGAAAAAAAACATATTTATCCTGGGGTGGGGGAGCTTCACTATCTGTTTTAAACAATTTAATTCTGCATTAAACATCATCGTCTTTAATGCAAAAAGACCATTTGGTAAGTCACAAAGAACAAATCTCTTGGCCAGTCATTATTGGTCGCCAGGGGTTGGGATCGGGGGATTTTGTGGGGATCACGTGGTTTTCATCGGGAACAGAGGGGAGGATCAGTGGTCACTAACAGAATGTAAAGGGGGGCTGTAGAGAATTGACGGTCATACATCTATGCAAATTAAGCGTCCGCCATGTTGGTGCCCACCTCAGGTGTGCAAATATATTGCCATCTTTACAGTGCCCTCTTTCAAATACTTTGTTTTATGAATATTTCTGGTGGAAAAAATCTAGAATCACAAGAGAATATTCTCCTTAGAAATACCTGTGCTTTCGAACTATGCGGAGGGCCTAGAAAGCCACATTCGAGAGCGATAACTTAAGAACATTTTTTGTGATTGGTGTCGATCCAGTAGCCATTCCAAGCAGAATGTCTGCCCTCGATAGAAGTCTCGCACCTTCTTTCTTATTTTGTTCTGGAGACAAGTTATTCCTGACAAATAAGCAATTTAAAACATTCAAAAGTCTTGAAGCGTACAACCAAATAGTGTCTGGCTTCGTAACATCAGTTCAAGGAGCAGAGATTGTAAACAAGATTGTTGTTTTAGCGAAGGTGAGACATTCGCAGCGGATGAACGATCCTCTTGAAGGCATTTGGATTATCGCAGAAAGGGATACACAAATATACGTCAAGAAGAAGGAACGAATATAGTATGTGAAACATAGGAAATGTTCCACAATCATAACGCACGATCCGAACGCACTACTTAAGGGAAATGCTTGGTTTAATCCTTAAAGAAAATTCGTTGTAATTCAATGAGGAGAACTTCCTCCAAACACATGGAACCACTAAGGGTACGAAAATGGCAGTGTCATTTGCCAATATTTTCATGGCGGAAATTGAAACGAAATTAATTCAACAAGGTAAAATCAAGCCAAGAGAATGGAAACGTTACATCGATGACATTTTCTTCCTTATGGATTGTGACAGAAAAGTGCGGGATCGGTTTATTAAACGAGCCAACTATTTCGACCATACTATCAAATTCACGGCCGAAATATCAGAGAACCAAATCACTTTTCTCGATACCACAGTGTTTAAAGGGGAAAGATTTGCAAAAGATTCCATCTTGGACATCAAAACCCATTACAAGCCGACCGAGACCTTAATTCCAATTTACGTACTTCGCCTCGTGTCACCCACTAGGCGTAAAACATGATTTCATTAAAGGCGAAGCAATAAGATTGCTGAGAACTACCTCTTCGAAAAAACATTTGAAGAGGGCCGTTTGAAATTCAAACAACGCCTCAAAGCAAGAGGGTACCCAGAAAACATTATAGAAAGGTCTCTGTCAGGTATCAACTTTGCCTCTTGACAATCGGCCCTTAAACATACACAAAAGCCGAAAGGTCACGAACGTTTATTGCCTTTTGTCATAACGTACCACCCGGCAGTTAAAAATTTAAAACAAATATTGATGGAGCATTTGAGTCTGATACACAATAAGCCCTTGCTGTAAACAAATTTTACAAAACCTCCGATCATCTCTTACCAAAGGGAAATTCCTTTAAGACATGCTTGTGAGAGCAAAAATATAATTTGAAGGAGATAATGCGACGCAACCTCGAAAGCCACCTAGAGAGTCCGTGCCGGTCTGTCTTTACCTTTTTTCTTATATCGTGTCGCCGCGGCAAACTTCCCTTTCGTAAACGGTCGTTGCCATTTGAAACGGTCGATGCCATTTCTCAGAACGGTCGTTGCCATTTGAAACGGTCGATGCCATTTCTCGGAACGGTCGTTGCCATTGAAAACGGTTGATGCCATTTCTCATGACGGTCGATGCCATCGTAAAGGTCGATGCCAAGAAGGAACCGATATTTCCGACTCTCTCCGACGACATGCGTGACAATCAGAGCAATGCGTGACTAGCTTTCCCACAAACCATCGCGATTTTTATCAAATCAAAATGACGGACAAACCCGACAATTTTCTCAAAGATCTAATATCTTCAGCTATAAAAGAAGTCGAATCGAAAAGAAAATCTTTTGAATCGACCCAAGTTACAAAGGAGAGTTTTCTGGCTTCGCTTCCAGATGATTCATTTTACTACCTGAAGGCAATTTCAGGAAATGGAGAAAAGTTCAAAGAGCACTTTTTGACCGAAGATATAACGAAAGAAAACCTGGAGCAATGGATATCCGAATATGAAGTGATAAACAGCATCTCAGTGAAGTGATGATGTACATGTGCCAGAACTTATGGATTCTTCCATGGGTTCAGATAATTGGTACGATGCCATACAACCGTATAGTACTCTAGCCAATTTCAAACACTTATAATTTGATTATATTTTTGTTCAAGTGAAACCTTGTGGGTATGAAGGTTTGTTTGCTGATATCCTGATTGAGGAAAATTATAAGCAAAGTTCAGCCATTGATTCACATGGGGCGCTAACTAATACTTAGGTAAATTAAAGCCTGGGCCTCCAGTTATTTCACCCAAAAAGTGGGGGGGGGGTCTATCTTCTGAAGATTAAGCTGTACAAACGTAAAACTTTGAAAAGATTGAAGGTTTGAAATTGTAAATAAGTGTTAATTCATTCTTTCCTGTTAAAGCCTAACACAACATTGTAATGATTTAAAATTTGGTTTGAACAGTAACATGATGTACATTTGCAGCAATGACCACAATTAATTTCAAAAATCGATAATAATAATTTAAAAACAAAAACAATTATGTATTATAGATTGATCCAATAGTCCTTTCAAATCATCTCCAGTTAAAATCACTAAATGCAGGATAGGTTAATTAAACATGTGACTTTTGGTGTCTTATAAGATTTCGTTTCTCTGCAAAAGTCTTTTGACAATGATCACACTTGTAGCTGTCTTTATGTTTCTTGTCTTTATGCCTCTTTAACTTTTGCTCATGATCAAACGATTCATTGCATTCCTCGCAAATGCACTCATGACAACCTTTCTGGTGGTATTTGAAGTCCTTCTCCCTTGTGAACTGGGTGCTGCAGGTTGGACATTTTTTTATCTCTGCTATTCCCATATCAAGGTCTTCCCTCAAGCTCTGTGCTTTATCTTTCCAGTCCTATGAAGATCATAGCATGATATTTTAAAAGGGGGGAAATATATTAGGGAACAATCGTGTATTTTTGATCCCCCCTATTTTTTATATAAACTAGATTGCAAAGACAGTTTTTTTCACCCTCTATCATAATTTTTTGAGGATAATACCCCCTTGCCCCCCCCCCCCCCTTTCCTCAAAACCTGGATCCGCCACATGTAGGTTATTTCTAATTAAAATTTAGGTTAAATTAATTGGTACATTATAATGGGCCTTGTTATTCCCTAGGTATATTTAAGAGTTCTGTCTGGAAAAATAACAAGTCTGAACATTATATTACAAAATTGACATTCAGCTTGAGGTCCCAGCTTGATTCAAGATCAACATTCATAACCTAAAATACTTTTAATTGGAAAGTTTGACGAGAACATTTACACTCTCGGTCCTTACAAAGTTAGCCACGTAAACCACATAGCAGTCCACTGAAATGGGGCAGGGTTAATACACAAACATTCGCAATGTTAGAAGTTTATAACTAACCTTTCGTCTGTCTGTCGGCAATTTCGGGAAACCTGCCCGATTCCTGCCCCCTTTCCAAGTTGTTCCTTGACATCTGGCTGTGGAATGATACAAAGTACGAGGAAACTATATCAGCTTATATCGAATGTAATTTCAAGGCCTACAAGAATAACGAATACAAGTGCAACACTTATAGATAAGATATTTGTTAATGACATAAACGAAAATTTTAGATGCGGTTTATTTTTCACTGATATTTCTGATCACTTAATCTTAATCACTTGTAATCGGATGTAAAGGATGTAAGGGAAACAACATGTTTTAGACTATTTGAACAAGCACTTTATTCAGGCTGAAAATGATTGAATATTTCGGGAAATACAAAACAAACTCACCGCAACTGACTGCATAAAGGAGTTCCACCCCGTTGGCTTCTTAATTGATTTTTGTTTTGTTTCTGCACAAGAAGAATGGGTTCGTTCTGTTTCAGCTGGCTCAACTCTCGCGCACGTGGATTGCTCCGCCATCTTATAAACAACACTGCCCGGAAGTGACGTCTGAGCGTGCCAACAGCGTACGAGCTATTCACGAGGGCTGTCGTCTGCTCGGCTAGTTTTAGAAATGGCATCGACCGTTTCAAATGGCAACGACCGTTCTGAGAAATGGCATCAACCGTTTACGAAAGGGAAATTTGCGTCGCCGCGACTTATCGATTGTATCCAGTTCTCTCTCCTCTCTGTTTTCAATTCTTCTTCGAAGGAAGACTAACTTTAAACAACTGATGGTATTCGATAAAATCCAATTCCTTTGTCCTGATCAGTTCTGGTGCCACATCCGAAAACTACACAAAGAATCATTTCTACTTTTTCACTTTCACCTAACTACAAGCGCATTTGTAACTATTTGCTTGAGCACCAACATGGCGGATAGCAACCGCCGTCATGACAAAAGTAACTTGGGTGAAAACCAAGAATAAGGGAAAAAGTTAAAATACTAAAGAGCCCGAAAAAAATTTATTGTGGCACAACCATAAACCTCCGACCTTCTCCCCTCCCCCCCCTAGACGATAAAATATGACTGGTTCCTTAAGATGTGTGATTTGGAAATTATATATCTAAGCATTAAACGAACTTTGTTCAACATTAAGCAGCCTAATCATACCTTTTTAAATTAATTTTCTTATTTCATCGGCTCATAACCAATTAGAACAATCCTCTCTGAATATTTCGTACAGGACCATTAAAACGTTCCAATTTCAATGATAGTTGAGATAATTTTATCAAGTCATGTTTCCGCATAAACCGTCAAAGGTTATGCAATGTTATATTTTAGTCATATTAATATCCTTTCTTTACATGAAAAAGAGAAGCATCACAAGCAACTGTTACATCTTGCCAACTTGAACTTCACTTTTAGTTTTTTAAGTTTGCATATTGTTTTTTGTAGTCTTAGGTATGTGGGTTGAGATTATGAACCCGTTGTACAATAAATACTGACCTAATCATCTTGCCAAAATGATATGGGTTTTTGGCATGACTACAGCCTGTCATGATCTCCATCATATCGAAAAGTTCATGGTCAGTTCTCATCAAACATTTGGAGCTCATAAATAAACACCAGGTCAATTAAGGCGGTTTTGCCATTTTCGTCATTTCCTATTCTTCCTTGCAGGGAATCGAATTGTAGAAGCTAAATTAATTCATATCATACTTCAAATTAACGTCGTTTGGATCAAAGTAAATAGTTTTGTATTTGCATGTACCTGTAATCGTTTTCAGCTTGTCCTCGACGTTTTTGTCTGCTTCATTTGTCGTCTTCATGCGACTTTCAACGGCTAAAATGCGCAGTTCATTGATTTGCGTTCGCTTGTTGATCATCTCCATCCTCAGGAACAGCGCAACAATCAGTAGAATTGAAATAAAAGAAAGAACCGATGAGCTCTTTCGAAAGACGTCGTCTGTCCTTTTTCTGTGAGCTCTCTCTGTAGAGTCCATTGTAGCTTTTCGGGACTTTTGGGCTCTTCTACTGAACAACGTTTATAATAAACGTGTAAGAAAACTGACGTACTTGTTTTCTTCCGCTGAAGATTTGCACTTCCCGTGTGACTGAAGTGGCTAAAGTTTCCTGTTTATCTTATTCCTCTGTCACGAATGCGTTACTTGTAAACGTAATACGCTTAGGATTGGAGACCGGAAATCTGTCTGTTGACCTCAAATTGACTAGAGTTGCATAATGTGGGTTTCACCTGAGGTGTTCTCTTATTTTCAATTTCTCACGTGGAATCATAAGGAGTTGTTTTACGTTTGGACTCTTGCTCTGATAAAACACAATTACTACTGCACTTCATTTTAGACTAGAAGCGGCGAGTTAACATGTCAAAATGTATTATGTTAGTTTCACGTTTCCCTTAAACGCTATTTTTTTCACCGTGAAAGCTGGAACCGGGACTGATACAATCTTTACTTCCGGTGTTCTCAATCCTTTAGTTGACAAACGACTCAGTTTTGCGGAGATCTTCTTCCACCAGGACATTGCAAAACTGAAAATAGACTAAACCATTGACCGAGCTTGAAAAAAATCAGTCTTAGAGACCTCGCACATCTGACTCTGATAATTCTTCTTTCAAAAAACCTCAGTGAAATTATGCTGACTTGTAGTGCTACTTTAACACAAAGAACAAAGACAATGCTCGTTTTTTATGCCAAAAAATAGGCTAACACAATTTATAAGGGCTTAGCTTAGATGGACTAAAGGGGAGATTGATAAGTTTCTTTAGTGAGACTATAAAAAATGGACCAGACCCTCCTGGAGGTTTAACAATGAATATTTTTTTCATGGTAAATGAAATTAAAATGAACAAGATTTGGAATGGAGAACTGATATTTATAATGAAAATGTTTTTTTGCAATCTCTTACCAAAGACTTCAACCTCTTCTACCTTTTATTTTTATGGCGGAATAAGGGATCTTTTACCACGGATGTTTATCAAAACAGCAATGTGTTTATCTAATTACCTATTTATTTCTTTATGCTCATTCAATTAAACAATAGGTGTATGATAAAGTTTCACCAATTCATCACTACACAATCAATGACAAATACTTCAGATCTCCTCAACAAGTTTAGTAATGAGTCCGTTAAAACAATTCTAATGAAAATGACTTTCTAGGAAAAAGAACTTAATTGCAATTCGTTGCCAATGAAGATCTAAAGATGTGAAAATCTTAAGATCTTTTCCCTTTCGTAGCTTTGCTTTGAGAGGCAAAAGATGCGATGTTAGTGACCATTTTTAAATGATCAAATAACTTGGATCACAGGGTGAAAATAAATAATTAATACCGTCCTCTCCACGGTTCTTTTTAGCAGATAATTTTTAACAGATCCACAAGTTCAACGACTAGGACTGGGATTGATTGTCATGTGTTTGAGCATCATAACCAAAGTCATATTTAAAAGGTGAAGAGATATTATATCATAACAAGTAAAGTGTGGTTTAAGGGTTAATGTAAACAACGAGAGAATTAACGGTTTTAATTTTTAAAGTGAAATACAGTTAACCTAGAAACTATTTTCTGAGTCTTATTTTCTATTTTTTGTCAAGTTCGAAAGCTACTGCTGTTTTAAAAAGGCAAAATTTATAGTATAAAAAACGATAAATCTAAAACAAGTCTGCCATGTTGGTTGACGTCAGCAAATCACAACAGCGCGATTTGCATATGTATCCCATGATATCAACAGCATCTCGTAGACGAAGGCTATCTATTAAAGGTAAAAGCGTTTAAAAATATTGTAACGTAAATTAAACGCACCGGAGACTTCCAACCAATCCCTCTTTCCCCCCCTTGTACAACGGTGGAGGTTTAAGTTTTCATGTACTTTTGACAATGAAACTAGGATAATAAAGTGACAAGAAATGAACATTATCCTTTTCAACGTTCTTCAGTTCTAAACTTAGTTTGAAAAAGAAAGATCGTATAATTTTCAACGGATCCATAAGTTCAACGAGTAGGACTGGTTTGGAGGGGTGTGTGAGAAGGCATTATAACCAAAGTCGTACTCAGTTTGATTACCACCACGTTCAACGAAAGAAACACGGCCAGTTTCTGTGATCCCAATTCCATGATCAGCACGTGCACAGCTAGTTCCTCCTCCACCAATCATCATCACTGCTCCATCACCAGTCCAGTCACACCAGAAGCCGATCTTGTTGGCGCTTTGGATTTCTCCACTGCAATTAGCCTGTTGAAACCCGCCTGTTGACTTGTACTGTCCGCCATATTGAACCGCACAACTTCCTGGACACTGATCAGTGGCCCAGACCGTGCCATTTCTAAAGTCGCCATAACTTGTGATTTTAGATCGAAATGTTTGTCCACCCAAACAGTTACCTGTGGTCTGTAACAGAGGGATGTGGCTGGGGTCGTCACTGCGCGTGATCTTTATTTCTCTGCCGCTGACCGACCAAAAGGCTGTTGAAATCATATCGTCGTTCTTTGAAGAGTTGTTCGTCGCTCCAATGGCAATTTGTTGGTCATACCACCATCTACCATCGTCACGCATCCAATTCTTGCCATCGCTGTTTGAGAATCGAGCGATAAGAGTCCAGCCTGTAGTGAAAAAACAGTTCTCATATTTTCTGTTTTTTGATTATTATTATTATTATTATAGTGCATGGACATTTTAATTTTATTTCTACGTCTTTCTGGCATATGATGGGAATATTGTAGAGGATAGCTCTGTATTTTCTTTCTAACTTGAAACGAATTGTGCAATGTTCCCACCTTTCTTCTGTTTTTATCGGTGGTAAAAAAAAAAAAATTAAAAAAATTAAAAATTTGCGGTGACCATAATGAAAAATATTAACCGTTAGCCGTAAAAACCATCACTACATTGAGACACTCTTTTAAGACCAACTTTTGAGCCAGAGGTAGATCGATATAACTACGGATTTAGGGCACCGATTACAATTTTCAGGGCCTCGCTTTCTAGTCTAATAGAAAAAATGCGGGGGGGGGGGCACTTTCTCGGTTTTACCACCGATATCCACAATCGGCCAGAAAGTTTGGAAATGTGAAATAGATAATGGTTCTTAGCTGTTACAAATCAATAATCCTATGTTTTATAAACCGTACATTTTCTTTTACTTTATCTTCTAGCTCCTTGTCAAATAAATCTTTGAAAGCCTTACACCAGAGGCCAAAAGCTTTCGGTATGAAAATGTTGTTTTTGGTCAGTGAGCGCAAGCTTATTTAAAAAAAGATGAAGTTATCAAAACTGGTGGAGAGGAATTAGTTATAGCCTAACTAATAAACTGACTCTAAGTAGTGTGACTAACAAATAACAAACAGGGTTTACCGCTATGTATACATGTTTTTCCATTTCCATAAAATCCACTTTTACAGGAACACTTGTGGGAGCCATAGGTGTTCTGGCAGTTTGCATTGACGTCACAGGGCCAGATGGAAGCACTGCACTCGTCAATATCTGAACATTAAAAGAAATTAACTCGGAAGTGAATTAACGGCACAATTTGGAAATATTCGATAACAACAAGAAAGCGGTAAACAACTAAACTTTGAGTCACTCTCAGAGAATTACACCTTCAGTTAAGTTTGAAGCAGTCTCAGTGTAAATGTACATTAAATTGTATCTCACCCGTTTCACAATGTTCCCCTGTGTATCCTTTCGCGCAAGCGCACACGTAACTGTTCTTCTCGTACAGTGCCATACATTTCCCATTGTTCT